AAACATTTAAATCACAAATGCACAAATAAGTTAACATTCATAGTACAAAATATGGATATTAATTCAGGTAGAGACATAAAATGTTTACCCAGGAGATTCTAGACGTTTATTAATCGTTCTGATACATTTGCACATTTTGTTAAGTTACGACAGATTGTTGCTCATCATAAGATCTTGAAATTTTAAAATATTTGGTCTGTTTACGAAACATATTTAACCCCACCACATTCTGTATGTACCTGCCCCAAGTCAGGAACCTGTAATGGACTGTAATCCAGTGGTTGTCGTTGGTTGCTTTCAGTTATATCTGATTTTCGTTAATTGTTTGGTCACAATTCGGCTGTTGGTGTTTTTGTTTGAATTTGTTTCACATTTTGTTATATCGGGACCTTTATAGCTGACAATGCGGTGTATGTGTTTTGCTCATTGATTAAGACAGTAACCTATAAAAATATTGATTAAATCTACGTTAGTAGGACTCTACTGGATAGTTGTCGCATTGGCATTCACAATTATTTTATATATAATACCAAACATTTAAAAATAATTCAAATTAGAAATTCAAAATATCTCTACTTGATCTTAACAAAAATGTAATTTTAAAAAGGTTAGATTAGATCGGTTATAGGAAGCTGACAGAGACAGTAGAACCAGGTTGCCAGAGCCCATTTTATGATTTGTTAATATGTACATTAACAGACTTTAAATCAAATGTACTAACTTACTTACTTTAGACTTACTGACAGAGGATTTGTTCACTCTGAAGAAATCGGGTTGAAGATGCACTTTTTTCATTTCCTCGTTAAAAAAAGTTTGAAAGAAAATCCAATTGAAATAATTTGTATTTGTAATTTGAGTGACAGAATATCATCTTTAATGAGTATGTCTGAACAAGAAGAAAATGTGCTTCAATATGAAAAGTAAAGATATTCATGCGTATATCTGTTCTGTGTGGAATAAATGATATGCGTGATTTAAAGCAAAAACATCACATTGTTACTAACTCTGATCTTATCTGAAGCATGATAATGCAGCGCCATCATCAAATGAAAAAAGAAGACGAAGATATCATACAAATAGTACACAATAAAAAAAATACACAGAAAAGAAAACTGCACAATTAGAACACAATAAAAAAAACGAGATTTCTCTCGGGTAATCTGGAAGGGTTACACTTGTAACACCTATAGCGCCCCTGTCTTAATCAGGTATTCAAAGTGACAGTCAGTGTTGTGGCATATGCCATTGCGGACTTGGTCTCTTGTCTTACCTAAGATGATTGATTGATTGTCGCTTGCTTAACGTCAAGTGGCAACTTCTAACCCAAATTTATTACCGATTCAAGTCATCTAACGTTTATTAACGATAACTGCATGAGTGTGGAAATATGTATGCAAATACAAGCAACAAAGAGGCTGAAAATATGAAGTATTAAATAAAAACAACTTGGATAACTAAAGCAAATGCAACACGAACCTCAGTAAAAAACTTAGGGAGAACAAAGGTGCTCCCAAAATGTAAACAACAGGTTCTGCTTCAGTGATAGCCTTTATTGTCGTCAAAATAAACTTATAATATATACCAGGATTAAATTTGTGTACGCCAACCGCGATTCGTCTACAAGACTCATCAGTGACGCTCGAATCAAAACAGTGATAAATGCAAAATAAATAAGGTACGAAGTTGAAGAGCATTGGGGACACATATTTCCAAAAGGTTTTGCCAAATACATCTAAGGTAATCTGTTCCTGGGGTAGAAAATCTTGACTATTTTGAAAAATTCAAAGTTTTGTAAACATTTGAATTATAACTATGACCGTATCAACGATAAATTAATTGTTGTCCACACAGAAGTGCTGACTAATGGGTTGTTTATACCCTCGGGGAGGAAACCTCCACACAAAGAGATGGCTGCACCTTTACTATTAAGAACCCTTGGTAAATAGCTTTTCTGTAAGCAGCAACCTTCTATCATTGAATCATAATACGAAATGCAACCCCCAGAATACTGTTTAAACTGAGAGATATATACTCCAAATGTAGATGCTGCTTGAATATTGCTTCTTAAAAATACAAACGACAGTTCACAAAACCACAGGCGCTTTTTTGAAAACAAGAATAGAAGGGCTTTATATATAAACTACTATTTTTTTCAAAACGTATGGATAGACCAAGAACTGTTACAAATAAAACGAGGGACAACAAGTTAAAATATATGAAGGAATATTAACTAAAAAATCAAAACACAAAATCTGTGCACAAAACTCTACACAAAAATTAAAGATTGATTAATTGATTTGTGTCAAGTTAACGCCAATTTCAGCACAATTGGATATTTCGTGGCGATCAGTTTTTATTGGCGGAGGCAGCCGGAGTACCCGGAGAGAACCACCGACCTTCCGACAGGAAAACTGACAACCCTAGTCAATTAAGATTGAGTTCCAACGCACCTGCCACGTGCGGGATTCGAACTCACAACCTCAGTGTTTACAGGCTATGGGTACAGTATATTTTATCTACCATTTCTCTTTTTCTTTAAATTTATTGCACATCATTATTATCTACCGTCCGTGAATATTCTACAATCTAACTTAGACCACTCGGCCATCGAGGTCCCCCTAAAGATCGAGCAACAAGAATGCGTTACTTCTTTAAACAAGATTTTTATATCTACGTTTGTCTTGTTTGTATACAACGTAGGTTTGATTAATTAATCCAATTTGTCCTTAAATTTATAATAAGAAATACTTATGTTAACTGTGGAGAAGTGATTTGATTTTACACTATTCAAGAAACGAGGAGAGGTGCTTTAGATTGTATGAGTATCTTAATTGTATGTACTCTACCTTATCTATCGTCCTTCATGTAGGTAGTTTCACATGTAGTAACTCTGAAGCTTAGATTTTAATTTCTAATGGAATATGTTTTTAGTTATTTGGAAAATGGTTTCCTATCATGGCTAGAGCATTTGTCAGACACAGCGATATGTGTCAGTTTAAAATGTTATTCTAGTTTATTCAAACGATCCAAGTTTACTTGAAATAAGCTACACTACCGGTGTCCTTCATTTTGGGAGCAGGAACAGTTTATTATTATATCATAATGCTACTGAAATATGAGAATTCTGACCACAGACATACATCTGACTAACAAACTATTATTTCTCTGAATTTTAATTGATAATACATATTTTTTTGTTATATATTGTGACGCATACGGCGTTCAGCATCATAATTAACTGAACTGATAACGTCTTAAACGGTTGGAACTGAGGCGTCGAGCAAAAAAAAAGAAATATACCATCTTTTTCCGCAAGTTTATTGTTTTCTGTTTGGTAATAATTTAATAATAAGATCTGTTTTGTTACATCTTGTGATCCGTTTATTTGGCAATCGCCAATGGCAGTCAGCAGAGTTTAAGAACATCAGTTGTTCGACCTGCTAGTCAAATGCGTTTTGTTAAATTATACTTTTTCACTCATTTGGTCTTTTGGAAAATGTTGTTTGTGCTGTATTTAGACCCCTCTACCAAGAAATTTGTTTTGCATGCACACGTATAAAAATTGCGGTTTTTATCCAACGCAATCATAGGTTTGAACGTTGTTTTCAATTTAGACTTGTTTATATTTTTTCGTTTGGGCTTGTATTATATTTGCCTTCGGGTTTATATGATCCGTTCATCCTATTTTGACTCTTTCAAAATTCAAGAGTCTATCCTAAATTGAGGTAAATTATATGGCCTTCCAAATACCGTTTCGATTCCTAACATCACTGAAGAGACATTAATTGTCGAAATCCGGATATGGTGTACACATTTTTGCACCTCATGTTTGCGGTATACCATCTTTTTCCGCAAGTTTATTGTTTTCTGTTTGGTAATAATTTAATAATAAGATCTGTTTTGTTACATCTTGTGATCCGTTTATTTGGCAATCGCCAATGGCAGTCAGCAGAGTTTAAGAACATCAGTTGTTCGACCTGCTAGTCAAATGCGTTTTGTTAAAATATACTTTTTCACTCATTTGGTCTTTTGGAAAATGTTGTTTGTGCTGTATTTAGACCCCTCTACCAAGAAATTTGTTTTGCATGCACACGTATGCAAAACAAATTTCTTGGTAGAGGGGTCTAAATACAGCACAAACAACATTTTCCAAAAGACCAAATGAGTGAAAAAGTATATTTTAACAAAACGCATTTGACTAGCAGGTCGAACAACTGATGTTCTTAAACCCTGCTGACTGCCATTGGCGATTGCCAAATAAACGGATCACAAGATGTAACAAAACAGATCTTATTATTAAATTATTACCAAACAGAAAACAATAAACTTGCGGAAAAGATGGTATACCGCAAACATGAGGTGCAAAAATTTGTACACCATATCCGGATTTCGACAATTAATGTCTCTTCAGTGATGTTAGGAATCGAAACGGTATTTGGAAGGCCATATAATTTACCTCAATTTAGGATAGACTCTTGAATTTTGAAAGAGTCAAGATAGGATGAACGGATCATATAAACCCGAAGGCAAATATAATACAAGCCCAAACGTAAAAATATAAACAAGTCTAAATTGAAAACAACGTTCAAACCTATGATTGCGTTGGATATATATATATTTCATATTTCAACGCAATCATAGGTTTGAACGTTGTTTTCAATTTAGACTTGTATATATATATATATATATATATAAGCCACACAAGGCGTCATAGTTATTTGGACTAGACCACACGCATAAATATTTTGAAGTAAAATGAACCTAACATGATGTTAAATATTCAATGTTTGCTCCCCGTAAAGACCCCTGTAATGGTACTCTCCGGAAAATGTTCACGAATCTTCCGCGTTTTTTTCGATGTTTTGTTAATCAAATCTTTCCTAAAGGACGATCGTCAACCTTTAATCTGACAATATAAATTAAATCACTTCAGTTACTGTTATTATATCGTATTTTTATGTTTTGTCTTCTGCTTAGATTTAAAAAAAAATATTTTGATGCACACGGAAAGTAACGGACATAAACGAAGATTGAGCAGCTCATAAATATTCATGTTAATAAACATAGCGTAAACAGTGTGTGGATATTTTTGCAGAAAACGCTGTGTTTCATACATTATACAAGAATGTCAAATACAGAGCAACCTATCGAGGTATGTCGAAAACAAAAGTTTTAAACAAATTTAAAGCAAGTTGCATTCCTTTTTTGCGTGAAAATGCATTCTGTATTTTGCCTTTTCATTTTGAAAACGCGCGGAATGTTTTGCATTTGTGGATATGCCAAAATGCTAACGCTTCTTCTTTATCACTTTCCAGAACCGGGAAATTTCTGCTCCAAGAGTTGGAAAATTTAATGTGCACGTTCAGGTTCGTATAATTTTATTTTATGCACAAAAAATGCATGCATTTTTAAAACCCAATGGTCAATGTAAGATGCAAAACTGTGGCCTTTATTGATTTATTTTCTTCTTTGCAAATACTGTTTAGATAGAGTGCAATAAGCATATTACATAGTAGTTTTCTTTTATAACTTTGCAATAAATAACGGAAATTATTTCCCGCAAAAGCCCCACTGAAACGCTATAGTTGTCGCACTCTAATATTGATATGTGTCAAGGTACAAGTTCAAGGTCAGACACAAAATCGGTGAACAGCAATATAATACTTTATAAAAATCAACAGTACCGTTAGAATTATTAAAAGGGACCTAACCCGAATAATTCAGTAAAGGGACCATACAATACCAAAAGTATTTAAAAATGAATTCAGCTATTTTTGCACTCTTTATAGGTATATTTTGATCCACTTCAATGCTTTATGTGTAAACAAAATGCTTGGTTGACCTCAGTTAACCTCTAATAATAATATTTGGCAGGTGCCCTATTGATCATTAAGTAAAGATAAGCCTTCCAGTTGTCACAATTCACAATGAAAAATACATACTATAAGTATATATATATATAGATAACATAAGACATCATTTTAGAAAAATACCATATGTGCTTGATTTATAAAATGCATTTAAATTATCACCACAGGCACTTGGATACAGGATTGGATGTATTATTTCATTGTTTGCATTGAATATTCAATTTTCTATTTTTAAACCTAATATATACTTAACACTACCATGCTTGTCTTGCCAAGGTTTTTTTTGTTAATTTATCAACTCTTATATAATCCCTTAAGTTACTATACTGTTACATACTAAAAACCATGAAAACAACAGTATGGTTAGTATAGAATAAGGGATTGTATCAAAGTTGATAAATTCACGAAAAACAATGTTAAGTATGTGGAATGAAAATAGAAAATTGAAAATTAAGTGCAAACAATGAAAACAAAAAATCCAAATAATTTGTAAACCCAAGTGCCTGTGATTAATATTACATAGAAAATTGTTGTATCATGAATGTCTTCAGAAATGTTGATTTATTTGACAATTGCAATTTGATGTACACGTATAAATTGTAACTGTGAAATAACATTATAAATAATTACTCAAGGTTCCATCACTGGTGAGGCCATACCAATTGTATGTACTAATTAAGTCATAAAGGGATGTACATGTTATATATTAAGAGACACTTAGTTTACCACTACCTATAATTGTATCTCAGATTCTCTCTTCATATATCATGTATATATATTTATTGTTGTAAATTTGCAAATTTTTCTGATTTTAATTACACAAGTTTTTGCTAAGGGAAGTGAGAAGTGGAAATCAGTGTAAGTTAGCTGGACTTTGTGCACACATTTTTTTCTCAGTTGCATTCATTTTAAAATGCTCAAGCGATCAGACCTCATCAAAATTAACCAGTAAGTACATGTACCATAGGCCTGATGATTTTCAAGGGCTCTGAGCAATGATAGAAAACATTTATTATGCCCCCCTCCTTAAAACATTCTTTTGCCTAACATCAAATGTACCCTTTGTGGAGAACAAAAGTAAAACTGCAGGTTTAGTCTTGTTTAGAATCAAATGAATCTTGTTTAACTTATAACTTTCTAAAAAGGTAAGTGTTGTATAAAAGTTAAAGCCACTGTGAAGATAGGAACAACAGTTGTAATTTATAGCAACAACATTACACCACAAATATAAAAATATGGAAATGTGGTATGATTGCCAATAAGAGTAAGGCCAAGAACCTAATGTTAGCATTAGTTCCAAACACAATTTATGATTCATAAGTAGATAACAACATTTTCTCTCTTGACCTGGTTGTAAATCACCACTTAAGACTTTTTATTTCTTCTTTCAAGAATTTATTGTTTGGAATCAACATGGCAGCTTTCTGGCATCTTTCTATGGACCTTGAAGGCAACCAGACAAAGTTAGAATTTGTCCTAAAGGCTAAAATATGCTTATAAATACTTCTTATCTCAAATCAGCTGATTTTAAGACTTTTCATTCAAGCACAAATAGTCTCAACAAAAACACAGTTAAGGGGAGACAAGTCATGCTGTTTTTTGTATATACAATGTATCTAGCATAACATTTTCAAACAAATCCAAACTGACAGAAGACCGTTAATGCTCCATAATTATTCACGCATTTTGTTTTGAATTACATTTTTGATGTTAATATAACAGGTAATTAAAAACACTACAATTAATGAATCTTGAATCTACCGGTATATGACATGTACCTGTAATTGCAAATATGGCAAAATATATAGTTGAAATTACTAAGCAAAATCTTTCAAATTTCCTATGAAAAGTTTTCTTGTTGGAAAATATAGTAAGGTCAGTTCGATTGCCAAGGCTTCCTTATACTTTATATTTTACTATTTTATTTTTAACCCATGATCCATGTAATTTTACACTATAAATTAAAGGGTATATGGGGCAAACATTAAGATGCCGTATATGGGGCAAACATTAAGATGCCAGCAAGTACATCATGTAGACAGTAACCCTATAACACAAATTTACCATAATAGACAATAAACCATTACTATCTATTCTTCAATTATAGAAACAAATATAATAATTATTCAAAATTTTGTAAGTTCCTATGACAACAGTGAACCTTAGAATGACAGGCATATTTCAAAGATTATCTGCAATCTTTATACTATATAAAAATAAGAAGATGTGGTACTATGTTCTCTATGTACAGTTGTCTATTTTATACATTTTTAAAAAAAGTTTTTGGTGAAGATTTATTCAGCCTTTTCTATATTGAACTTGCAGGGAGATTTAAAACACAGACAGTTTGTAATATTAACAGTTCATGATCTAGGATGCAATCGTAAGTAATGTATATTTGCAAAACTTTTCAGGGATTCAAAAATATGTATTATTGGACATAGTAAGTCAAATATAAAGACAATTTGGGGATTTGACCTGGAACTAAAAAAAAGATAAACCATGTGTATTGCATGTTTTTAGTCATTAAAATTGAAGTAAAGATACTATATCATTAATTGAGTGATTAAATGGGTTGTAGTTGACTGTTTAAGGGTCTATGATCAGTAATGACTATTTTATGGTATTACAATGTATCTAACTGTTGGGTTGCTTTCTTAAGTCTCATTAATATTTTCACTTGTATTCTAAGAATATACTGATATAAAAGAAGTTTGACCACTACCTTATTTGTATATTATAGATAATCAATGGAACAATTTTATGAACCATTGGTCAATGCAGGAGATTACAAAGAGAGCTGCATTCATTCACATTGATATCCCTGGACAAGAAGATGATGCTAAAGATCTTCCAGCTGAGTAAGTTATCATGTTGTATGTCATTGGAGAGGTTTTGTCATGTCATTATCTCATTGAGTATACATGCATGGGCACAGGACGTTTGTGCTTTTTACCTGTAACAGGATAGGACATTTGCGCTCTAAACACTATGGACATTTGCGCTTTAAATTTTGATACACCTGTATTAAATTGACTGGACATTTGCGCTTTTTACCTATAGTCGTCTACCTGTAATTTTGATGAGTTGTAATTTTTAAGTAAATAAATTCAATTTATATTTGTGGTTAGTTAGTTCACGTTGACACATTCTTAAACATAGAGTGTAACAGTCGGTTAATTTCATTGAAATTAGTTATATTGACGAACACGCACCTCAGTCAATAATTGAGAAAGAGAAACTAGAATATGTATTTGAAATGTGGGTGAAATACAAGTCAGGACAGATTACAACCATGACAACAGCTAAATTTGTTCATTCTTTGGGCTTCAAATATCGAGCGAAAACTGACCTGTGATGACTTTACGTGTCTTTATGTCTTAAGAATGTTTACTTTTAGCTATATATAACTAAATCAATGTGCTATGAAAAGACTTTTATACACGAATGTGCTATGAAATGACTATTAAACTTTTAACCATAAATAAAATTATGACTTTAACTCGGCCAGGTCAAACATGCCGATACTAAGCACGGAAAAAATAGGAGATAAGTCATAAGAAGCAAATATTGTAAGAGTGCAAATGTCCTATAAATTGAAGCGAAAATGTCCATAAAAAAAAGCGCTAATGTTCTATGAAAAAGCGCAAACGTCCCACACCGACATGCATATATGTATGATTTCTCAATGAAAATTACTCATTCTTCTTACACATAATTACATCTGGTTTGCAAGTACCTAGTTGTTTACATGTTTAATTTGCCAATTTTTTTTTACACAATTTCTTCATTACAATTTCTTCTCATTTATCTATCCTTTATGAAGTGATGGCATATCTACAAGTATTTCCTTTATTCACAGGCTTGGTATTTATCTACTTATTGCACTGTATATGCCATTTTTATGTCATTGCCTTAGCTTTTTGAATTGAAAAGTTACCAATCTTCAATACACATTTTTTTACTGAAGAATGATGATTTTTAAGTTTTTAAATTGGGCATATCAATTGATCACTTTCTACATTTCAGAGTTTTATTTGAACAGTTGAAATATCTCAACATTTTTAAACACACTTTTCTGTTAAATAGCTAAGTGATTGTTATATGCTGAAGCCCATAGACATAGAATGTTATATGCTGAAGCCTATATAAACAATGTTATATGCCGAAACCCATATAAAGAGAATGTTATATGCCGAAGCCCATATACATAGAATGTTATATGCTGAAGCCTATATTTATATATGAACAGAAAGTTATTTGCTGAAGCCCATATAAATAGAATGTTATATGCCGAAGCCCATATACATAAAATGTTATATGCAAAAGCCCATACACATAGAATGTTATATGCTGAAGCCCATTAGATAGAATATTAAATGCTGAAGCCCATATAAAACATAGAATACATTATTTTGTATCTTGAAATATATGATTTTAAGTCATTTAACTAAAGGAAATTTTGAATTCTTGACAAAACTATTACCTTCAAATATTGATGACAATACACTAAGATATAAACCAACAATGTTTCTGTCCCAATTGAAATATTATAGATTAACTGATGAATTCTATTTTAATTTATTCAGTTAAGAGTCAATAATTCTTTTTGAAAACTTCCAGTTATCCATTAAATTTACTGCCTTATAATGTTTCCTTATAATACTTTTGTCAGTTTATTTTGAACACTTTTTTAGTTTACCACATACACACAACAACACGTTATTTGTTTGGCTGTAACAATGATGTGCATGTTTGATTTAAACAGGTACCCACCAAAGAAAGGTTCAGGAATATCTATATGGTAACATCACTAACAATGACGACTTACGTCACATTTTCATCTTACTGGTACATTTGTAAAAGTCTGCCTCAAACCTTTTGGAGAATGGATTTTTCCTTCCTACATTTATAGTGTAGACAAAACCCACAGTCTTAATTTGCCATTATGATATATAAACATGCTGTAAATTGATATTTTTTCAACTAATTCAGGAATCATTTATTGCTTCAGAGTTGAGTTTGCATGAATGGAAAATTTATTTGGGTTTTTTGCTGCTTTTGGTACATGAAAGCGGAAATATTTTATTCCTAATGTACCATTTATAGTTCAAGAAGTAATTTTTTACATTTGATTTGTTAGTCTATTTTAATGATAATATCATAGCTTGTGATCATTGTTAGTCTATTTGTCTATTTTAATGATAATATCATACATTGTAGCTTGCGGTCATTATGACCAATAATTAGTATTATTGCTTAGGGAAATAACAAGAGACAAATGAGCCAGAAGGAAGTACTGTTTCTCGATATCATCTTTTACATTTTTTATATACAAATAGTACCTAAACGAGCCATTGAATATCTGCAGAATATATACATTTAGTCCTAAATGTAGGCCATTGAATATCGTCTGAAATTCTGAATATATAAATGTAGTCCCCATACTGGGAATTGAATAAGAGAGGAATCTACCAATTTTAATATAAAACAGGTTTTGTATGCTTACAGTGTAATACATGTACTTTAATTATTTCTTTCCTAATCAGTGTGATAGAACTACTTTCTTGACAAACAATCTTAAGAAGATATTACTAGTAGTTAGCCAAGGGAGCACCTGTTTAGTCTATTAGAACAATTAAGCTGTGTACATGTTGCATGTCATTGTTCTAGATCAGAGACACTGCAGATTTAGAAATTTGCACATTTTTTTCTTATTATTTATATTGCTGATGTGGAAATTTCAGTCTCACTTTTATTCAGTCCACATTATTTTATATACAAAATTCAAATAAAAGGTCAATTGTCATGCATATGTTTGATGCAGTTAAGAAACAGATATAACTTATTTAACAATAAATAGGAGTACCCGTTAGCTTTAGGAAACTGTATCTGAGGTTTTGGAAGAATAAACAAAAATGATAGAATCTTTTATATTTTTTTTGCCTGCCTACTATAGCAGAGACGCATTATATTTTCTGGTCGGTCCTTTGGCCCAAATCAGGTTAAAGTTTTTGGATAAGGTACTTTACCATGAAGTTGTGGGTATATCAATTTGAATTCAATATGATGTGAACTATTCAAATCATATGCCAAGTTAGAGTTTGACCCCAATTTAATGGATCAATGAGCATATTAATATAGTGGGAATTCAGCATGGTGTCCTATGGACACATATTTTAAAAAAAGGTTTATATTATACTGTTTCAATAATTAGATTAAAAGTACATGTATATGCTACCAATATAAAATAAGGAGATTGATGTGGTATGATGGCCAATTGGAAAACTGTACACTAGAGACCAAATAACATAGATATTATCATGTTAACAAGCTTAGATATTATCATGTTAACAAGCTTGTTTCAACCCACTAGGTGAGTCAAATTCTCACATGTATTTAGTCAGGATCTTCAACACATAGTTACTAATTAGCAAAATTGATCACATCTGTAAAAATAGAGAAGAAGCAGCACACTTCCTCTGTCACAAACAGATAGCAGTGCAAACCTTCAGTGAGGAACTGACAAGGTCTTTCAAAAACTGACAGAGCAGTGCAAACCATCACCAAGTTACAGACAAACTTAGTATAGCACAAAAACTGATAGAGCAGTGGAAACCATCACCAAGTTACAGACAAACTTAATATCACAAAAACTGATAGAGCAGTGGAAACCATCACTAAGTTACAGACAAACTATATCACAAAAACTGACAGAGCAGTGGAAACCATCACCAAGTTACAGACAAACTGTATCACAAAAACTGACAGAGCAGTGGAAACCATCAACAAGTTACACGCAAGCTATATCACAAAAACTGATAGAATACCAATAGTGTAAACCTGCATGACAAGCTCTGAAAAAACCATAACAAAGCAGTGCAAACTTTCAGTGAGTTTCAGGCAAGCTATATTGCAAACTGACTTGAGTATAAACCTAGGCTACAGTGAATTACTGACAAGCTCTATAACAAAAAAAAACTGACTATGCAGTGCAAACCTTCAGGGAATTACTGAAGAGCTCTATCACAAATTGATAGATCAGTGCAACTTTCAGTGAGTTGCTGACAAGTCTTTCACAAACTGATAGAGCAGTGAAAACTTTCAGTTAGTTACAGAGAAGCTCTTTTACAAAAACTGACACATCATTGCAAGCCTTCAGTTTGTTGCCAACAAGCTCTTTGACAAAAACTGACAGATCATTGCAAGCCTTCAGTAAGTGACTGACAAACTCTTTGACAAAAACTGACAGATCATTGCAAGCCTTCAGTAAGTGACTGACAAACTCTATGAAAAACTGATCAAGTTAAATCATCAATTCATTAAAGTTACTGACAAGCTTTATCACAAAAACTTATAGACCAATACAAAGCTTTAGAAGATACTAACACGCCAAATCACAAACTGATAGTGGAGTATAAACCTTCAGAGAGTTTCTAAGCTCTATCACTAACTGAAAGAGGAGTGCAAACTTTCAGCAAGTTACAGACAAGCCCTTTCACAAACTGATGAAGCTGTGCAAACCCTCATGGGTTACTGACAAGATCTTTCACAAACTGATTGAAGATAGCAAAAATTGCTAGCAAGCTCTATTACAAACTGATAGAGGACTGCAAACCATCTAAGAAACTGACAAGTTCTATCACAAAGTGACAGAGCATTGCAAACCTTTAGTGAGTCATAAGCTATATCACAAAAGAGCAATGCATATGTTCATTGAGTTACTGACAAGCTCTATCATGAACTGATAGATTAGTGAAACCTTAAGTGAGTTTCTGACAAGGTCTTTTACAAACTGATAGAGCAGTGCAAACCTGCGATGAGTTACTGACAAGCTTTATCACAAACTGACAGAGGAATGCACAACTTCAGTGTGTTATTTTAAAGCTATATCATAAACTGATAGAAGCATTCAAATTTCAGTGAGTAACTGACAAGCTCTATCACAAAAACTGACAGAGCAGTGTAAACCTTCAGTGAGTTACTTGCAAGCTCTTTCACAAACTGATAGAACAGTGTAAATCTTCAGTGAGTTACTGACAAACTCTTTTCCAAACTGACAGCATTGCATAACTTTCAGTGGGTTACTGACAATCTCCATCGCTAATCATCAGAGCAGTGCAAACCATCATTGAGTTACTGGTAAGCTCCATCACTAACTCGCAGAGCAGTTCAAACCTTGATCGAGTTACTGTCAAGCTGTAATCAGGGTTGGCAAAGTATTACCCGGCCCCCGGGTTTTCCCGGGCTGGGCAATACTCCAAGAAACGGGTAATACTGGGCAATACTGAGTAATATGATTTTTCAAGCTTATTTTTACACAAAATAGTAAAGACTTGTAGTTTCATAGTATTATAGCTAAATATATACATTTTATACAGGTAACCATTGAGAGTTATTCCTGAAGATTGAAAATTCGATTTCTTCCTTTTCTCCGCTAATTATATGTAGGCAGAATACAAGTTTTGCACATTTCAGGATACCTTGTTAATTTCCAAGCTTTGTTTCAATAATCCAATTTGGAACTTTGAAAAAATACATTTTACTGCAGTGTTTAAGTGAATTGTAAATTTTAATTGTTATACAATCATATTGCTAAATAAACACCCTAAGGGGACAGGCCATGAACTCTTATAGAAATCAAAAGGCTGATTATTGTTATATAAACAAATTTGTGTTATAATCTGAATAATTACTTATTAATAAGGGATGTACATAAACATATGCTTAAACTTAGTAAACATTTTTAGTAATGAATAAAAAATGTTTAAAAGTAATTTTCCTTACATATAATTGTTAATTCTTATAAATATAAGTTATAATTATTAAAAAAACCAAATTGAATTCTTCAACTTTAAGTCAACGCTTTGACCAATCTAGACAGAATGGCGATTAGATAGATTTTCAGGAGGATTATTAAGAAAAGCTTTTCATATTTGTCTAATGTGTCTTCATGTACACTAATTCTTAGAGTTGCTGGACAATTAATATTTTCTCAGATTTATACGTCTCAAACAAGTGAACTTATAAATTAAAATACTATATCTTATTTTTAAAAAAATATAAAAATTAAAAAAAATGTATTACATTTGTGATTAATCCTCTTTAAAATTCAGGCCAGTATTTCATATTACCCAGTAATCAATACTCATAAAACCCGGGTTTTTGCCAACCCTGGCTGTAACACAAAATGATGAGGATAGAAAATCTTCAGAAAGTTGCTGACAATTTGTTTATATTACAAATGACTAGAACAAGGTTTAAAGACTTTCAATAGTTGTGATAGAGATCGATAATGTGACCATGTAATCTATGTTTAAGACCATGAGGCTAGGTATGGTCCTCTTATGTTTATGGAAATATAGTCCATGACAGTCATGTAGTTGGATATTTGTAAGAAAACATCTTTTCTACCTGTCCTAAATACAAAAGTCATATATAGAGAGTGAAGGTTGTATGTAACAAAATATTAGGAATTCAAGAACATGGGTTTTTATATGTTTACCAGAAATAACATGTCTTTACATGTTGCATGCATTTATTGAAGAAAAGTAATTACACAATACCATTAAAGATTGTTCAGTTGTATTAACTGTTTTGAAACGAATCATTAGCCTTGTTCACTATAGTCCAAAGGCAATGTATCAACAAAGATAGAAATCTGATTCAATATTAATGAATACCTGCTGGCAGACTTTTATAATGCTACCATTAAAGATGAAAATGTGAAGCATGGGAAACTTTATGTTGATATTGTGATGAATAGAATGATTTTATGTTGCTATTCGAGACTGAGATTTTCATAACATAGTATACATATATTTGTTGTTGGCTGGCCAAGAATGATTGCTGATATTTTATTTCAGTGAATATTGTTTTAACTAACTTCCATAGATTTTTTTTAGTTGTAGATCTATATATATGGCACAATGTATTTTCAGTTGGAATGGATGTTGGAAAGTTTTTATGCAGAAGAATGGTTATTTATCATTTTGTTTTGTTTTACGTGTCATCCATTATCATATACCATCTCACACATATATATACCAAAGTTTCACATTTTCAGTTTCAGCTTCTTAAAGTTAATATTTGCTTCATTTTTTGTTTAAAATTTGTGAACCAAAGGGTTTGTTATATTATAACTTAACAAATAGACTAGCTCTGTACATATATAGCAGATATTTCAACCATAAGACAAGTTTAGTAATATGGCATGATATAATTGATTGAATTTAAATATGATTAAAATCTGTGGTATCACATAGACATGTTTTTTCCTGCTGTGTTCTTTTATTTTGTCCTCTAAATCCTAAACCTCTGCTTCAACATCCATCTAACCAGTCCTAGTTATTTTTAACTCACCTGGCCAAAAAGGTCTTTGTTCCATCTACCAGGTCCTCACTAAGCTATTAATAAACCATCTGGCCAAAAGGATGATTTTGCAGTATTCTATCATCTGTCTTTTTTAAAAGATCTTAGACCTAAGAAAATACCTGTGTTTCCACTAACCTGACCAACTCTAATATCTGGTGCCTACCCTTAAGATTTTTTATCATTCTTAAACAAGCTCTGTCAAAATCAGACTGTTTCCCCTGTTGAAACAAGTTAAATTAAATTTTAAGAAGAAAAAAAATCATTTTATTTGCCTACCTACCCGACCCTCTATATTGTTTTCAGTATTACAGCAGAAACAAAGGTGTTTTTTGGTCTTATCTGAAACCAGTGTTAGAGAAACCAAAATTGTCCAAAAACCATCTTAAAGGAGTCTGGTTTCTAAATTTCATACAATTAATCTGTTAATCAAGCAACATGTATACTGTTAAAATTCACAACAAAGAAGGATACATGAATTAATGAAAAAAAAATCTATTTAATGCTACTATAAATATAAAAATTAGATTGCCAATGAGACATCTCTTCACCAGCGACCAAATGACATAAAAAATAACTACAATAGGTCACCTGCCCATAATGATACAGACTTCAACAATGAGCAAAACCCATGCCCCATAGTAAGCTATATAAAGGTGAAATTATCTACAAAAAAAAATTATCTTTGAATAAATCCTACATTTATGATCACCTTTTCTACATGAAGCTGGGATACTGTCCCCAATGACTTATCATTGTGTGGCCTAGCATCGTCCAGTTGTGGCTAAAGACGTCTTCATTGTGTTGCCTAACATCTTCGTGCTGTGGCTTGTCTTCATCATCTGTGTTATTGGTTGATTGATTGATATATGTCACCTCAGCACAAAAAGGATATATCACTGCAAGTCCTTGTTGGTGTCAATTCCTTCAAAAGATCTTGAAAGAATTCAACCGAAATTGCACAGATTTTTTAATTTTGATCTGATTGATTATGGGGTTTACAATACTAGATCCTAGACTTTGCCATTTGTGCTTATATTATTTGGAGATGACAGGTGACTGCTACATTATTGGTTGTATCTTTTTCTATTTGACATGTACCATTTGTTGTACCTGGTACGTAGATGTTAGATAACTGTCATCTCTATTGATCAAGAGTTATGCCCCTTTACAAATGGAAAAATTGCTGAATTTTTCATTCCGTTTTTTAACTTTAGTTTGCCTCAACCAAATGTTATGAAACGTATACACAATGCTTTTTACCACATAATACAGATCAAGTTCAAAATTGGGTGGCATCACTTTTACAATTCTTGAGTTATGCCCCTTTATAAACATAAAACTGCTGAATTTTTCATTTCCGTTCTCTAAGTTTAGTTTGCCTCAACCAAATGTTAAGAAACTTATACACAATGCTTATTACACTGTACCACATAATACAGATCAAGTATGAAATTGGGTGGCATCACTTGTACCTTTCTTGAGTTATGCCCCTTTATAAACATAAAAATTGCTGTATTTTTCGTTTCTGTTCTCTAACTTTAGTTTGCCTCAACCAAATTTTATCATATGAAACTTAAAAACAATGCTAATTAACACAAAATACAGATCAACTTTGAATTTTTGTTGTGTCACTTTTACCGTTCTAGAGTTATGCCTGTTTACAAATGGAAAAATTGCTGAATTTTTCGTTTCTGTTCTCTAACTTAATTTAGCCTCAACCAAATGTTATTACCACAAAACTAAGATCAAGTACAAATTTGGGTAGCGTCACTTTTACTGTTCTTCAGTTATGTCCCTTGATAACTTTATATGATATGCACATCATCTGTGTCCCATGGACACATTCCCCATTTTTTTTTTAATTGAATCATTTGAGTCCTTTTGACCAGCATGCAGAATTTAACATTAACTAGTCATTGTCATGGAGTAAATGTAAGCACAATGTGTTTGTCTCATCATGTCATAACATGGCTGTGTTGTCTCATCATGTCATAAAATGGCTGTGTTGTCTCATCATGTCATAACATGGTCATGTTGTCTTATCTTGTCATAACACATGGTCGTTTTGTCTCATCATGTCATGACATGGTCATGCTGTCTCATCATGTCATAATAATTATTGTCGTGTTGTGTCATCATGTCATAACATGGTCATGTTGTCTCATCATGTCATAACATGGCTGTGTTGTCTCATTATGTCATATCATGGTTGTGTTGTCTCATCATGTCATTACATGGCTGTGTTGTCTCATCATGTCATAAGATGGTCGTGTTGTCTCATCATGTCATTACATAGCCGTGATTACTTACCAGCATTCAGAAGCCCATTTTTGATGTGATATTATTTATAACCTGACAACTTTTGGCCAGATTTAGAAAACACATTGATTTTACCAAATAATTACATGAATCTTCTTCCATCCAATTACAAGTAAATGTTTTTTTTCTGCCAATAATCACAGATTTATATATATTTAGAGAGAGATTTATGTACAAGCAGTTTAAAGATTTGACTTATATTTTGTCAATTGAAGAAGTCTGTTTTCAGATTAAATTTCTTGTTTATGCAGACTATTTCCATATTTCTAAGGCTGTCAGCACCTTTTTATGACATTATATATTTCATAGAATTAGGATTATTCAGACTGCATCAATATTGTCTACAAAGTAAATTACTCTTCTGACTTTTACACTCAGATTTTTAATAACTTTAACTTTCAATTCACTTGATTATTGATAGAAACATTTCTTTTTAATTTCCATCAACTGGGTAGTCAAGGCAAAATTCCATGATTGATTATGGGTTAAAAAACTATCCATGTCAAGGCTTTATATGTTTGACAATTCAAAACATAAACATGCAGAAACAAATATGTTAACATGCAAATACATTATAAATTGTACTTGTTAAATTTGCATAAGATGTTGTTTTATTTTAAACAAGCAGATCTGAAGTATGTTGACATTACTGGATAATTGCCTTAAGCTAACATGGTTGACTCGCATAATGGATGATGAATTAATACTGCCAAAATTAATCCATTTGAAAACTAATTTGTTCTTTTAGTGTAATAAGTTTTGCTTCCAAAGATCTTACATCAAGAAGCAATCCTGTAGTTGTCTTGCCCTTGCTTAGAGATTATGATGACATTGATACTTGTCTTGCCCTTGCTTAGAGATTATGATGACATTAATACTTGTCTGTTCCATTATCAGAAAAGAATGATCTAGTAACTGGATATATTGTTAAAATCTTTAAAGACTCTTTGTTGGATATTAAATTTATACATGATTTGTGTTTGAATTTAGATAGACTACTGAATTAGATTTAGCATGAGAGTCTGAGATTAAGCCAAACATTAAATTTTCTAATAAGATCCATTTTAGAATAAGTACTTTTTAACAGAATAAGACTATTGATATATGACATACTGTTACAATTAACATCCTTGCAAGCAGTTCTTATATTGGACCTGCCCATTCAGTCTTCCTCAACCTACTATCAAAAAATTGTAAAGATTACATTGTTCAAATCATGAATTTTTTTTCTGTCTGTTGGTACAGTGAATTTTGTAACAACAGTGTCCATGCATTTCAGTTTTAAACAAGAAAGTTATTTTTTTAATTTCTATCCCTTTATTCTACAAAAAAAAAGCCTATCATCTTCATTTTACAGTGACGTAACATTCCATTTGTCATTGAATTAATATGGTCTCTATCATATCTTTCATTATTTTGTATGATTTTTATACATAAACAACATTATAATAGTATATTTGTGTATTTTGTAGTTATACTTTCCCTACCATGCAGAGCCTAGGAGAGGATATCGTCTGTGTACTTGATCAGTTAGAGTAAGTAGATTGTAATTTGAGGTTCAGTTATAGATATAGTTCAGGAGAAGATTTAGTCTGTGTTTTTGAAAGAGGAAGGTTTACTCTTTTTTTCTTGATCAAGTAAATTAAGTATGCTATAATCAAGACACAGTAAAGGATACCAGTATATAGCATGCAAGTTCCCTTAGAGGTCTGTAGAAAAGTTAGTTTATGTTGTTGACTAGAGTTATAAAAGTAGTATGCAGTTGAAGGAAATATGATTATACTTTAATTTTCAATATTCAAATTAGAGCATGAATTCATGGACAGTGGCTTCTGATTGGTGTTTAATGGACCCTTTCTTGGTCTTCATGACTTGTTAATGTACAGTGTCTCCTGATTGGAGTTTGATGGACCCTAAGTATCTTGGTCCTTATGATTAGTATGTGGACAGGGGTTCCTAATTGGAGTTTAATGGACGCTGTCTTGGTCTTCATGACTTGTTAATGTACAGTGTCTCCTGATTGGAGTTTGATGGACCCTACGTATTGTGGTCCTTATGATTAGTTTGTGGACAGGGAATCCTAATTGGAGTTTAATGGACCCTGTCTTGGTCTTCATGACTGGTATATGTTCAGTGGTTAATAATTGGAGTTTAATGGACGCTGTCTTAGTCTTCATGACTGGTATATGTTCAGTGGTTACTGATTGGAGTTAAATGGACCCTGTCTTGGTCTTCATGACTGGTATATGTTCAGTGGTTACTGATTGGAGTTTAATGGGCGCTGTCTTAGTCTTCATGACTGGTATATGTTCAGTGGTTACTGATTGGAGTTTAATGGACACTGTCTTAGTCTTCATGACTGGTATATGTTCAGTGGTTACTGATTGGAGTTTAATGGACCCTGTCTTGGTCTTCATGACTGGTATATGTTCAGTGGTTACTGATTGGAGTTTAATGGACCCTGTCTTGGTCTTCATGACTGGTATATGTTCAGTGGTTACTGATTGGAGTTTAATGGACCCTGTCTTAGTCTTCATGACTGGTATATGTTCAGTGGTTACTGATTGGAGTTTAATGGACCCTGTCTTGGTCTTCATGACTGGTATATGTTCAGTGGTTACTGATTGGAGTTTAATGGATGCTGTCTTGGTCTTCATGACTGGTATATGTTCAGTGGTTGCTGATTGGAGTTTAATGGACCCTGTCTTGGTCTTCATGACTGGTATATGTTCAGTGGTTACTGATTGGAGTTTAATGGACGCTGTCTTAGTCTTCATGACTGGTATATGTTCAGTGGTTACTGATTGGAGTTTAATGGACCCTGTCTTGGTCTTCATGACTGGTATATGTTCAGTGGTTACTGATTGGAGTTTAATGGATGCTGTCTTAGTCTTCATGACTGGTATATGTTCAGTGATTACTGATTGGAGTTTAATGGACCCTGTCTTGGTCTTCATGACTGGTATATGTTCAGTGGTTGCTGATTGGAGTTTAATGGATGCTGTCTTAGTCTTCATGACTTGTATATGTTCAGTGGTTACTGATTGGAGTTTAATGGACGCTGTCTTGGTCTTCATGACTGGTATATGTTCTGTGGTTGCTGATTGGAGTTTAATGGACCCTGTCTTGGTCTTCATGACTGGTATATGTTCAGTGGTTACTGATTGGAGTTTAATGGAACCTGTCTTGGTCTTCATGACTGGTATATGTTCAGTGGTTACTGATTGGACTTTATTGGACCCTGTCTTAGTCTTCATGACTGGTATATGTTCAGTGGTTACTGATTGGAGTTCAGTGGTTACTGATTGGAGTTTAATGGACGCTGTCTTAGTCTTCATGACTGGTATATGTTCAGTGGTTACTGATTGGAGTTTAATGGACGCTGTCTTAGTCTTATGACTTGTTCATGAACAATGGCTCATGATTGGGGTTCAATGAACTATGTTTTGGTTTTTAGAAATAGAAATTGATTCCTGATACTAAATACTTACTAAACATCAACATTCTATCATCTGAGCAGCTTAGATTACATGATATTACATGGAAAACAATTCTACACTGTTGGTACTATAGCCAGTGCAGTATTGAGTCATTGATGTCCTAAATGGGAAAATATGAATAAAGATTGCCGAGGTTCGGCTGGTTATTGTAATAAAATTGTAATGAAAGACATACAATCAGAGAAGAAGAACTATTGATGCTACAGGCTTTGATTCATATTCAATCTTCTTGTTTCAATCAAAATTACATTATTTGTGTATGAAATTGATAAATATTAGTTGATCAGAAGAAACTGGCGGCATGTAAATAAAAGGAGATTTGAAGTATTTCTCAGAGACAGTATTTAAAGGAGAAATATAACGGAATAACATCTAGGGGACAACATACAGTCTTCAACAATAGACTGATACAGCTTAAAGCAATCATCAGTCAATCAACAAGCGACAGGTGTCAAGCTCGTTGTAAGTGTATAACTTACTAACCCATTCACTTACTGGAAAATAGTTTTAGCCTTATATAGTAATATAAAAGGTTATTTTGTAGGAGTTGATTGATGTGTTAACTATACCAACTCACTCACAAGCTGATCCAAATCATCATCATAGAAACAACCTTCATGTCTTTGATTACTTTTAATTCTAATAAATTGCTTATCATACAATGTCAAAATAAAAATAAAATTCATCAACACTTACAGTAACAGAGCTATTTCACCAGTGTACTGTAGGAATTTATACTCATGAGGTTAAGAATAAACTTGTTGTCATGACACTCACCAATGAAATAAAACTTCACATACATCCTTGGAAATTGTTTTCGATATAAGATACATATCATTTATTATATGTATAATTATGAACTAGACCAATTGTTTTTAACCACTAAGGTTTTTCCAAATCCTTGTAAGGGGAACAGTAGCAGTTTTTTTTATCAGCCAAGTTTGGACTCCTAATAAAGAAGGTCTATAAAACCCAACCTAGTCTATAGAGCCCAATAAAAAGAAGGTCTATTCAAGCCAACATATAGTCCAATAAAAAGACAGTCTATTAAAACAAACCTAGTCTGGAAACAAGAAAAAACAAGGTCTATTAAAGCCAACATAGTCTGGGGTCCAATAAAAAGAAGGTCTATTAAAACAAACTTTGTCTGGAAACAAGAAAAAAACGAGGTCTATTCAAGCCAACATAGTCTGGAGTCCTATAAAAAGAAGGTCTATTAAAACAAACCTAGTCTTGACTCCATTCAAAAGAAAGGTCTATTAAAACAAACCTATTTTGGAGTCCTTTAAAGAAAGGCCTAATAAAACCAACCCAGTCTGGACTCCAAACAAAGAAGGTCTATTAAAACAAACTAGTCTGAACTCAAAACAAAGAAGTTCTATTAAAAGCCAACTGAGTCTAGAGTCCAATAAAAAAGAATGTCTATTAACATGATTAAAACCAACCTAGCCTGGATTCCAATATAAAGAAGATCTTTTAAAACTACAAACCCTGAAGTTCAAAAATCAATCAAGTCTGAAGTCCAATAAGGAAAAGGTTCATTAAAACCAACAAAGTCTGAAGTACTAGTAAAAACAACCAAGCCTGGAGTACAATTATTAGGAGGACTTTTAAATCAAGTCAAGTCTGATGACCAGTAAATAGAAAGACTAGAAAAGTATTTTATTGATTATGTGCAGTGTACAGTTAACATTCTGAATGACCTAGCTATTAAAACTTGAAGTCATTCTGTTGTCTGATTATAATATTTGTATTTAAGGCTTTTTTTTTAAGTTAATTTTATCAATTCCTTTGATGATAATATTACATGATTATAACATTGACATTTCAAAGTGTACCGTATGCCTTTTGAGCATTTACAGTTATGTGAACAAATGAGATAATTGTCTATTGCAAATGTATCGTAGATTTCTGTTGACAGAGTCAATCTGCTTATCACGGACTTACGTCAGAGCAGGAAAGACATATTCCCACTGAAACTATAGAATCCTTTTACAAAAGAGTTGTTCCAATTTTCAATAAAACACTTTATATTCTTGTAATTGTTTGATTGATTGTCTGTTAACAAAGAGTATAGGGAAAGATTTCTTAATGACACAAAAACATCCTCACTTATTCATAATTACATTTTCTTCTTGATGATCTGAACAGATATGTGTTACGTGTATTAACATTTGTGAAAGCATCTCCTTGTGACAAATTGAATCAGAAATAAATTTCTCAATTCATTGGATATTGAAAGTACCATTAATGCTACCTGTAGGCTGTACATATATGTTAGTGCTGTAGTGTAGCAAAGATCTCTCCTTAATTTATAAGCACAAAATATATAATAAAATATTGGAGAATATCTCCATCAGATTCTTTCTGAACAAGATAATTCTTTGTGATGAAAGGATCAGTCATCTGCCAGATATGTCATGTTTGATATATATGGTTAAAAATATAGAATAATCATTGGTAGAGTTTGAGGCATTTGTGAAGTATATAATGTAAATAATAGGAAAATAGGGATAAAGTGTATTATTTGACAAATCCCTATAATCTCTTGCCAAAACCTAATTCAAAGGAACAGCTGTTTTATTGTGGCAGGATCTTTGTGTAACTTTGTTAGTACATGTATATACTTGAAAAAAATATAATGACCTATATATACATTATAGACATGACATAAATAACAATTTTAACAGCTGAATGTACATATTTATGTAGGGTGGGAACTGGTGTGTTATTTTTTACAAGGAATCATAACCACTTAATGAGTCATTCACAAATCAGTATTAACTGTATATGTTTTATTTTTCAGTGTCAAGCAAGTAGTATGTATTGGAGAAGGGGCTGGGGCTAACATTGTGGCCAGATTTGCTGTAAGTTTTGTGATGGGTTATTACCAATATGTACAGGACCGTTCTGAATCAATCATCCTGTATATGTCCATTAACTTACATTTTGTCCTGGTCTTACAGTCAGAAAACTTTCTAATACAATTATCATACTCAGACTCACAAATCAACCAATCAAAATGCTGGATTTGTTGCTTCAAGCACATTTTTTTTACTGCAATAACGAGTACAGTGATAAGACTAAAAGGCATGAAAGCAGAATAAAAAAGTTTTTCAAAAGAAGTTATCCCCCACTCACTAATTGGATGGTATACTGTATTTGCCTTGTCTGTTTGTTCAAAACTTTTGTTGTTTATTACTGTGCACTTTACCAAGAAATGATTTGATAAATGATCTGGAATTTTATAATGATGAGTTGTACTGTGTAAGCAATTTTCAGATATGCCTGGCAGTCACTGCCTGTTTGTAATACTTTGTTTTTTTTAGACCCACTGACCATTGGATTTTATTTGTCAATGTCTGATAATGAGTGGGGAATGCTTTTGAACAACAATTTGTACAACTTGTTGATCTTGTTAGTCAATAGAAACCTTCTCACATAAAACATAAATAAGGAATTTCAAAAGAATTGTTTAATTCTATTTACAGTTACACTTTACCCTCTTAATATAACAAACACAAGCAACACTGCTACAATGTTTAGGGAAGAATTATTTTTTGCTGACTTTTAAGAACTATAGCTGTATACTGAAGGAATAAAACTTTACTAATGAATGATGATGCCATTAATTATTTAACATATATAAATTGTTAAAAAGACTTTATCTTCATTACTTTAGTAAAAAGTCTTAATGATGTATGAATTTTTTCCAGTTATCCAGACTTTTATTAGCAAAATTAAACTACAACATGGTCTAACATGTAGTTCTATTAATACATGTTTTGCATGCATAATTTTTGTTGACCTACATTTATATATACTCCTAGTCTTGAAGAATCATTATTTTGAGAGCCATGCCTGACCAGTAAAATTTCTATCACTAACAAACTGTATTAAATACTTGCAGAGGATTGAGAGGGGGTCATAGGAGGGGACTCAAGTTAATGGGGTTAAATCTTTTTCAGTTTTGGTTCCACATCCTTATTTCAAAGATCTGAAATTACTGTGTTCTTCAGAAAAACACATCTTTTTAGGGCTGTTCCATAAAACACACATGGGACCCAGGGAAGGTATTTCCACATCTTAACCAAGGGTTGAAGACTATTTTGTTCAGTGAAAAAGACAGAGAAATTCAAAAATAACTACTTTATTTGGTAACATCAATTCAAGTGCCTTGCCTAGCCACATGTACCATGTATGTTTTAATTGGACTAATAATTACTCGGCAAGATATTGCATTAAAAATTGTAAGTTTTAAAGCAACTAAATAAACATATTGATCATTACATTGACACAGATTTTCTCTGAAAGAAACTTTTATTCATTTCAAGACACTGTTAGTAACGAATCGACCAGTTATGAATTTATTATAGATCATTGTAGTACTATATCTTTGTGTGAAAGGATTACACACTGAATAGATCTATTTGATGGGTTTCTATCTAGAATTGATTAAATGCTTCTACAAGTCACTGATTATCAGACAATGCATCAAGTTCACTGTCACACATTTTGTCATTGTGTGTATGGCCGAACTGATTAACAGACCATGTATTAAGTTTATATTCACACTGTTTGTGTAAAGCCAAACAAGGTCATTTTTTTGTTGGTTTTATTAAAATTTTACCTAAAGCTTCATCTTCTCAGGTTATGTCATTGGATGCTTGAGCAAAGAAACACATCCAGACTTGTGTTTAACAATTGAGTAGAGGGTGCAGATATCAAAAACAGTTATCAATAGTTTTTAAAGGCAAAATATAGGTCAATGTGGAAAGTTCTTTAAAGGAAAAATTGATACATTTCAAAGGAAATGCTAGTGGTATGAAGTATTTTTTTCTGTATCTCTGATATTTAAGTGCTTAGAAGCTACTCAAGATACTGAATTGAATCTTAATATGTACCTTTTAAAAAGTACCATCTCCTGAAATATTGAAGATAATAAACCTAAAGAGGCTATGTATAACTTGTTACTCATACTGGTTTCCTTGCCATCACCATCTTTTAAACGTGGCTCGGGATGTACTGATTTATGAAAATGACAATATAAATGATAAATGTGTAAAAGGAGACAATAATAATGTTGAGTTGTATAGCAAATAGTAAAGAAAAAGAAGTAGAAAAAATAACTCCAGTCTTTAATGTCTCTTTTATGGACAGAAAACACAGACTACATTAAAGATTTATAGAAATATGTGGGATTTACTTCAAAGAGACAGAAGTTTAAATACAAAACAAAACTAATATAGATAGTTTATTAAATAACACTGCATCTGTGCATTGTAATGAAGGAATATCAATATAGTTAATCTGCTGATATAGAAATAATACACTCTTACACTCTTATTCATCGTACTTTAGAGGCTATATTTATCATATAAAGGAGGTATATATGTACATGTTTTTTTTACCCTTTCTTTCTTCATTCAGTCAGCCGGTCAGTCATTTTGGTTTCCAAATGCTAACTGAAATATTTTTTATCAAGTCAAATGTCATGTACATAACAAAGTACTAATACTGTGAAAGTACTTTTATACATGGGTATCAATTTTCATGGTTTTAGCAAAAGTTGCATATTTGTGGGTTCTTAAATTCATGGATTTTAGTTTCCTTAAAAAAAAAAAAAAAAAATGTGAAGAATTTAAAGCTTTCAGAAACCAAGATTCTATGGAAATAATTATATGTTGTTTTATAATGATTTGTGGGACATTACACAATAAGGTGTTCATTTTCTCTTACTTGTTTGTCTTTCATTACTGATAACATTCATCATATGTTTAATAAAATAATTGCATTCCGAAATAAGTAAACATTTTAATTGTTGTACACATGTAATAAAAAATGATGACACTAATTAACCCGAGATCCAATGAGCAACATAGTAACGATTCAAAGGTATTTATAATTGGGTCATATACATATGTCACTTAAAGAAATTGGTGACATAAAAAAAATGATAAAAATGTACTTAATTAATTCTTTTGACATAACAAAGCAAGCCCAATATGAAAGTATATTATTTTTTTTCGTATGAGAATTATGAGGAGATATCGCATATTTTTATCGGAAATCTGTCTTCCATTGATCAAAACTAATTTTTCACGAGAATTAAAAGGTTAAATTTTATGATGGTATGATACTAAAACCTCTAACGGGAGGGATTGTACTTGATTTTCATATGATGAAGACATAATCTTTCAATTAGTTTAATTGAAGTCTAGAGCTGGCATGTCAGTAACTGCTAGTAGTCCTTTGTTAATGTATGTATCATTGTCATTTTGCTTAGTTTCTTTTATTACCTATTCTGACATCGGACTTGGACTTCTTTTAAACTGAGTTTTACTGTGTGTATTGCTATGTGTTTCTTTATTTTACATTGGCTAGAGGTATAGGGGGAGGGTTGAGATCTCACAAAACATGTTTAACCCTGCTGCATTTTTGCGCCTGTCCCAAGTCAGGAGCCTCTGGCCTTTGTTAGTCTTGTATGTTTTTTAATTTTAGTTCATTTATATGTTTTGGAGTTTAATGTGACGTCCATTTTTACTGAACTAGTACACAGTTTTATTTAGGGGCCAGCTGAGGACCACCTCCGGGTTGGGGATTTTCTCGCTGCATTGAAGACCCATTGGTGGCCTTCGGCTGTTGTCTGCTCTTTGGTCAGGTTGTTGTCTCTTTGACATATTCCCCATTTCCATTCTCAATTTTATTACAGTTTAGGTTTTTATGCCCCCCCGCAACTGAAAGTTGGGTGGCATATTGTTTTACCCCTGTCTGTCCTTCTGTCCATCCGTCCCATTATGGATGTATAGTTATTCCAGGTAACTCCTCCTACAGTTTGAATGCTAGGACGTTTTTACTTTGCTGGCTGTTTGTACATATATTGAAGGTGTGCATGTGGTCAGGGTTTTGATTTTTATTTTAAAATATTTGCTCTTTTGGGAGATAGTTGAACTTTGTCATTTTTGGGGTATATACTTGCATAAGAGGTGCAAAGCGTTTCTGGATAACTCCTCCTACAGTGAACCATAGACCTATTTGCTCCCATGCTCAACTTTATGTATTTTAAAATAACACTTTGCATCTGCGGTGGCATTATTTGTGTCTCCCAGACACAATTATATCTCAATGAAAGTCTTACATTGACTTTGTTATAATACAGTTACTTCAGAGTGGAGTGCAGGGGCATCACTTTGTCTAGTTTAAAGATTAAATCCTGTCTGAAGTTATATAAATATAGTTCATAGTGCGTTTGCTGATATCCAATATATTCTCTAGATTATATGCCCATATCCAAGTAGTCGGATCTTTCCATGTCTTGATTTGGACAACAGTTGTTTTATTTTGTTGGACACTTAAATTTGTTGATAAAGCCATCCACGAAAACCACAAAAATTGGTACCCCATGAATAAAAGTACTTTCACAGTAATTGACAAAAATTTGTGCAGAAAACTTGTTTCCGTATGCTAAATCAAAAACAACATATCAGATTAAAACCTTCTGTAAATATATGGTCCACCCCTGTGTAATGAAAGGAAGATCTGTATTGATTTTGCAATCGCTATGTCTAAGGTCAAGTTCATAGTTACTAAAAATAGAAAGAAATTTGTGCAGAAAAGTTTTTTCCAGATACTAAGTCTCATACTTCATAGAGGAGTGGAATCTTAAATAGATATTTGGTAACATACCATAATTGGGAGATCCCTATTCATTTTGAAATCAAGGCCAAGGTTATACATGTAGTTACTAAAATAGATTTGGTTAAGCCAATATTACTGTCTGAATCAGAACAAAAAAGATTCATATCTTAGAATAAACAAAAATCTATGCAATCCTTGAAATGAGTAACATTTGATAAGAAATTATAAAAACACAGTAAAACCACCTAGAAAGAAGAATGAAAAAGAGAAATTCTTAGAATTTTTCACTGTTAAAATGTTCTCCCCAATAATTGAGAATTTTAAATTTTTTCTCACTTTATTAAAGTAAAAGATAGGGACAAAACCTATACATGTATTCTTTATGAACTAGAAAATCTAAATGAGTAAGTAGAGCTAGCAGAATTAATAAGATTTGATGATTTTTACCTCTGATGATTGTTTTTCAGATTGCTCAACCGTCCAGAGTATTTGGTGTATGTCTTATCCATTGTACTGGGACCACAGCTGGCTTTATGGAATCGCTCAAAGACAAGGTGAGTGAACTTGTATTCTGAAAGAAAATGTCATGTTCTTTGTTTCGGAAACGATGCTTGATATCACTTTTAAACTAAGGCTGTCCACATGACTTGACCATTAGTGAATTAATTGTTGTGGAAATGAATGCACATCCATGTAGAAAATTTTGTTCTTGAGATATAAGAATAAATGAGAACTTATCCCTAGAATAAAGGAGATGTGGTTTAATTGACAATGAGACAACTGTCCACAAGAGTCCAATTGACATGGATGTAAGCAACTATAGGCCACAGTACGGCTTTCAATCACTGGTTAACTTTAGCAGGATGGCAATTACCGTGCTACCATATATTCAGAAACAACGAAATGTTTTCATAAGATTTTGTTATGATTAGAATTATTGAAGGAAATTTTTTTACAATTTTAATGCTTGCATAATAATAATGTTGACTGTATACCAGTAATATGTTGACATGACAGTGTGTTTTGATTGCAAGTGTTATTGGGTTGCTGGCTCATTGACATATAACCCCATATCTCCTTTTATTGGTAGATTATAATACTACACTGAATATGATAGAACATTTTCCCACTGAAGGTTTATCTTTTAATGCATCTTGCTGCACTAAAAAAATCTCTGCTGTTTACAAGGTTGTTTCAGTAGTTTCTGTGATAATTACATAATATACTTGACAAATCAGAAAATCAACACAGGTTATCATCAGGTAAACTGTTATATAATACTGTAATCATATCCAGGTGTTAAACACCTATCATCTCACCTGTAATTAATGGTGTAATAAAAGACATAGTTTTATTAGAAGATGAGAGAAGATGATTCTTTATTATCGATTTTGTTGAAAAGCTTTATGTCTTGACAGTTGTCTTATATTTATTGCAAAATTTGAAAAATATATAGGATTCTTTGTCTTCTCCTGATTTTCTCATCAGGAAGTTATTGAACTGAAATTTTCTATCTGACTATAGCATGGTCAGTTTATCATGAAATCTATTTTACTTTCTACAACTGAATCTGTTGATATCTATCTTTTGTAAATAACTGTCAGTTTATAGGAATTGTAAATGATTTTTCGATATATTTGAATTATATCAAACGGTTTTTCTTTCCTCCATACAGGTTTCAATATTGTATTCATAATTTGCATGGATTTTCTACAATAAGGATTACTGGTCAGCTGTTTAAATCTAGTGGCAAATATTTCATGCATATTCAGGACATGAGAAATTGACACACTTTTTGTTGAACATTATGTTTTAACTGCTACCAGAAAAAAATTGAAAAGATTAGAAGCTGAAATTCAATCTGAAAAACACTTTTTGGGCCCAGGATCTTTGATGTATGTAGTTAGATATTCTCCAAAAAAAATCATGAGTTGTGAAATCCTATTCAGAAGAGTATGGTGTATTCTAGATGTCTTCTGGTTATTTGTTGAATGGGTTACTGTCACATTGACATGCTATGATACTTTGGATTAATGACAGCTACTCTGTAGGGTATTGTGCCACAAAATTGACATACATTGACATATACCCTAGATATACTTTAATTTAGATGTGGCTGTAAAGTCAAGTGGAAATCTTTCTCAAAACCAACACTCTCAAAACTAAAGCAGAAAGTATATTGTACTAGTTTGAATATGGATGAATTTTAATAGCCCAGGCCAAATTTAGGGCTGTTGGCTAGTTGATTCAAGGTATCCATAAATAGAGACCCAGAATACCTGTGATAAAGTAGTAAGCTGTAGTTTAGAAGGATATATGTCTCATGTTTGGTTCAGTCACTGATTCAAACAGGTTCACATTAATTTTCATCTCATTTTGGTGACAGTCAATGTCATTGTTCCAAACAGTTTAGAAAACAAGGAGATCTACCATCATATGGGATTTATGTTGATGAGACAGAAAACAAGGAGATAAACCATCATATGGGATTTATGTTGATGAGACAGAAAACAAGGAGATAAACCATCATATGGGATTTATGTTGATGAGGCAGAAAACAAGGAGATCTACCGTCATATGGGATTTATGTTGATGAGGCAGAAAACAAGGAGATATACCGTCATATGGGATTTATGTTGATGAGGCAGAAAACAAGGAGATCTACCATCATATGGGATTTATGTTGATGAGGCAGAAAACAAGGAGATCTACCATCATATGGGATTTATGTTGATGAGGCAGAAAACAAGGAGATCTACCATCATATGGGATTTATGTTGATGAGACAGCAACCTAATGACTCCTCTAAAATCCAAAAGACATCTAGAAGTAATAGTGAAGTTGAAGTAATCATCTGGTATTCAACAGTAGATTAGTGTCTCACTTTACATTGATTTTTGTCTTGTCAGAAAGCAGTCATTAATCCCAGTAGGTTAACATTGATTTTAATTTTATTGGGGACAATTACAATAGATATTTAGTGTTTCCAATAAGGTTAACATTGATTTTAGTCTGTCAGAGGACAGTCATATCTATCCCAGGACAGTCATTCGTCTCAGACCCTTAACATTCAGCAGTAGTATTATAATGACAGGATTATCAGTAACTTAGATTTAGAGATAAGTGTTGTATGATTCTTGCAAAGTTTTAAGGAAATATAAACAGCCCTCACAAATGTCCTAGGATATACTACTGTAAATTCAGAAATTATTGCGAGGTTTTTATTAATGCGAATAATGCGACTGGGTGACTATCGCAATAATAAGAACTCGCATTCTGATGTCTATTGCATATATCTGTATGCAGATTTTCATGATATCGCAATAATTAATCTCGCATTTTTGTCCATTTTTGAAAAATCGCAATAATAAATGCACGCAATAATATCTGAATTTACAGTATATAGGACCACTTGTAATGGATTAGAAGTGCAGAATGACTCATATGTTATTGTATTAATGTCACTGTCTTTTTTTTACCTAAAATACACTATTACAGTAGAATTTTAATGATTTTATTTGAAATCCATAAAATAAGTTTTTATGTTTTCAAAAATCTTAATGTTTGGAAGAGATATTACCTCAGATATGAAAAAAAGAAAGATTTATTCACTTCAAATTTCATATTTACATTTATTCTTGTATATTTCAACAATGTTTTTGTAACCAGAAAAAAATTACATGTATGGGTTTTGCTCATTGTTGAAGGCCATATGCTGACCTATAGTTGCTAACCTCTTATGTCATTTGGTGTCTGGTGGAGATTTTTATGTCTCCAAAAAAGGATGGGAAGACTTATTGTTTTTCTTCTTCTTCTTCCGCCGCTTTTAAATTTCAACTTGTACGCACCTGTTCTCCAAAACTGCTTGTCACATTAACTTAGGGTTCCACAATATGTTAGACTAACATGTCTAGTGGTGCAATCAGGGTTTTGTTTGTGCAGTGGGGTTTATAAAGGGGTACTTTGAGGGGCCAAAAGAAAGGAGGGTTTTACTATAGAACCCTATGGGATTTTATTTTTTTTGTATTTTCAAATGATTATAACTTGAAAACAGTTAGTGATAGACATAATCTTTATAATTGAAAATGTTCTACATGATAAAGCACATCAAATGAAATACAGGGTCAGTTCCCAGGGATCACCCCCCACCCCCAGCCATTCGAGAAAGTTCTAATATCTTGTAAATGGTCAATATCCCCACCCCTAAACCATGTATATTCCTGTTCATCATTTCAGGAAGATTTGAATGATATACAGGGTCAGTCCCCAGGTGTCGCTAATGCATATCACTTCACTGGACCAAACCAGTTTTTACTGGACTTTGCCCAATGTCAGGCGACCCTGGGAATGACGAATTATGGGAGACTTCGTAACATCATCCTGTTACAATCATTTCTTGTTTCTCATTGGTATTCATACCGCAGCTTCTTATTTGTATATGCATGTATGTATAGTTTTGTTGTTGACAAGCTTATTGCATGCTATAATCATTATGATTTCAGCGACTTAACATATTGTATCATTGGTTCCTAAATTCATATTTATGGATTGAGCATCAAAGGTTTGAAGGTTTACATCAATAGATAGAGTAAAGATAATAATCCAGATCTTTGATTATCTTATGATTAACACTAACAACAAACTTAACTAAAGTCAGGTTTTATTAGTAAAGATATTTGAGAAAAATCTAGTAGTTAGCTGTGTCAGATAATCACAAATGATTACTCCCATCCTAATTGTGCCAAGTTAATGATTAAAAACAGCATTTTACATATAAATATTTTCCACTCAAAGGAAGTAAACATTTTCTGTTTTTCTAATATCTTGTTTAGGGTAGTGTATATATATATATTGAATCAATTGACTGTTATATAAACACACTTACCATGGTTAAACATAGCTGATTGATCTATACATGTCTTTTTATTCAAGATTTATAGACTGACAGTGGTTAAACATAGCTGATTGATCTATAGTATAGACTATACATGTCTTATTATTCAAGATTTATAGACTGACAATGGCTTATAGGTTGTTGTCATCATTTATTTTCTTTCTGTTGGAAAATATAGGTTAATGAATATACATGTATTCTTATTTACTGCTGAGTCAGGGATTAAGAAATGCATTTTGTACAAGAATTTGATACCTCTGTTTTAGTCAGTAGGATTATTCAATCCCTCAGTGATAAGAATGTCAAAACATTAATAGTCATTCCTGTCTGCACATTTGCATGTTGTACAAAGACTTAGTTCTTTAACATTCTCTTGGCAAAACCAACCATATGAAAAAAACATTTGTACTTGGACTATATATAAATATTACTATGTAATAACATTAGATATATGAAGAACAATTCAGGGCTGTTAAAAAAACATACCAAAGGCAAGCACTTTGAAATCATATATGGCTGGGTGTTTTTGAACAGTGAAAGTGCAAGAGAAATGATAAAATTGACTACAGTTAGCTACCCTGTTTTCAAAGAGCATTCCATGAGTACCATGTATGTTTTGATAGAACAGGCCAAAGGCAAATTAATGTGAAGCAAAATATGTTACTTATTTAAACAATTGAATAAAAAAAAGTTAATATTGGAATGAATTTGCCTTCAAGTTGGACAACATATCTTATATTTACACATAGATGTTGTTAAATGAAATTTGATACCCTGCATTTATCATGCTTTTCAATAACATATGGTCAAATCGCTGAAAGACCCTCCTCCTAAATTATTGAAAACTATCATTCTGCATTGACAGTAATTATCTTGGTGTAAATTAGATACACCCATTCATGTTAATGTCCTCAAGGTGTATCTAATATTAACGCCTATCTAAAGACTGTCTGGTGTAATCCTGAATTTTTAACTATCCATTGTAGGTGATAGGATGGAAACTAGAACAGATTGGTATGAACCCTACAGCTGAGACTTATCTGGTACTTCATAGATTTGGATCGGTAGGTATCTTATTAAACACACAAAATCTACATTTAAATGTTCCCCCAATTGTCTGCTTTCGTTGTTATTTGTGTTCGTACTAAAGATGACTTCTTTAGGCTAAAATTTTATGAAATACAAGTACGATAAGTTTGAAGCTTAAATTAACCATACGTTAACAGAATTAAGATTGAGTTTTAGATATGATTTGATATAAAAAGTAAAATAACAAAAAAAAACGAACTCTAAGAAAATTCAAAACAAAAAGTCCCTTATCAAATGGCAAAATCAAAAGCTCAAACACATCAAACTAATGGAAAACAACTGTCATATTCCTGTATAAAAAGATATTAAAAACTACCAGAGAATTTTTTTCTTTGCATTTTTAATATATTTTGGCTTTATTTGTTTTTTGGCCTTTCATTTTAATCAGTCAATTTTTTTCTAAAACACGAGTTTGTTGGTTGAGAATTCAAAGACTACTGAAGAAAAATCATTCCAATACAATGGGGAATCTAAGCACACAATGTTTTTCTCACTTTATTCAAAAGTAATATATAATTAAATAATGCATTTCAGATAATTGATTATATGATTAAACATGTTATTCAAACAAGGCTACCATATGTCAATAAACTGAAATTTGAAAATAATTCTCATGAGGAAAAAAAATAATTAGGTTCGACTGAGTAAAGCCAAATGCATTTTTGACTAACATGGTAGAAATATTGCATGATTTTATTTTATCAAGTTTACATTGTTAACTAATATATTAGCATTTTTCTGAGTATGTTTCTTCTGGTATTTAGGGTTATTTTATATAACTACTTTGAACAAATGAAATACATTTTTGAATTTCTTTCTTGAGGATGGTTCCATTTGATATATACTAAAAAGGGTGATTAGCTAAGTCAGTTGATTTAGATATCTAAATAAGAGATAATTTTTAGATTTTAAAAGGGAAATGGGGGGAGGGGGTTACAATATAAAAAAAATATCTTTAAAGTCCTTTTACCTTTGTTTCGGAGATTCTTTGAAAATAAAGTCCTTCATATGATTTTGAATTTCAGTTTTTTATAGAATTATGAATTAGTTACCTCATATTTTAGGCTCTTCTTTAATATCAATGACGACATCTTGCAAAAGATAATTTTTAAAAATTTGTTTTGAGCAATTATGAGGATTTCTATAAATTACTTCCCTTGAATACTTTTCATTTATCCTATGGTTCTAAAATCTTTAATCCTATAATAATAACATATATAAAAGATGTACATTAAGTAGTAGGCATGGAACAAATATATTGTTACTTGTAGTTGGTCAGTTTTATTGTTTTATGTTCAGCTATATAATTGGTCAGATCAAATATACTTCCTAGTAATTTGTCAATTTCTTACTTTGTCAATGTTTGACCAATTAGTACAAAAAGTAACGTTTCAATCCAAAGCCTGAAATGAAAGATATTTTTGTTCATAAAAAAACTATGTAAGAGTGTACTTGCAGGTCCACTATTAAAAAATAATGGGAGTGAATTTGATCTGATATTCTTCATGGGCTAAGCATGGCTTCAATGCCATCTTTTTAATTGTAATTACTGATGCATTATTTTGCTTCCAATATTTCCAGTCATCGAGTTCGGTGAGTTATCTCCACTTGAGATTTATAATTATCTCCCTTTTGTTTGACAAACTGCAACTTTTGTGAGGAGGTGCTTTTCTAAAATTTTGTGTTCAAAAATATTTTAGATATTATTATGAAAAATAAAACATTTTTCTTAGATTTTTTCACTCGTCTAGGGGGGAAATAAGTTGTTTAGTAACTGCCACACTTTAAAATTTCAGTGTAAAATCACATTATTGAAAAGATAGAAACACACATTTTTTTAACCTTCATTTAATTACTCTCATTTTTATACGACCGCAAAAAATTTTTTGCGTCGTATATTGGTATGATGTCGTCGTCTTCCGAAGAAAAATTAGGTTTCCGGACAATAACTTTAGTTCAAGTGAATGGATCTCTATGAAATTTTACCAGAAGGTTCAATACCACAAAAGGAAGGTTGGGATTGATTTTTGGGGTTATGGTACCAACAGCTTAGGAATTAGAGGCCAAAAACAAGCATTTTTGTTGTTTCCGGACAATAACTTGTGTGTAAGTGTATGGATCTTTGTGAAACTGTACCACAAGGTTCCATATCACAAAAGGAAGGCTGGGATTTAGTTTAGGGGTAATTGCCCTAAAAGTTCTGGAATTCGGGACCAAAAAGGGGCCAAAAATCAAGCATTTTTCTAGTTTCCAGACAGTAACTTGTGTTTATGTGTATGGATCTCTATGAAATTGTAATGCAAGGTACCATACCACAAATGGAAGGCTTGGATTGAGTTTGGGGGTAATTGCTCCAAACGTTCAGGAATTTGGGGCCAAAAAGGGGTGATTAACAAGAATTTTTTTAGTTTCCAGACCATAACTTGTGTTTAAGTGTATGGATCTTTCTGAAATTGTACTGCAAGGTACCATACCACAAAGGGAAAGCTGGGATTGAGTTTGGGGGTAATTACTAAAAGGGGGTAAAAAAATATTAGGGGTGGAGGGATTGTTTTATAATTTTTGGGTTTTTTTTTCTTAAAATTGTCCATTTATGCATTTATTAGGGCCCTGCCGAATGGCGGCCGCCCTATAGTGATCAGTCTGTCCGTCCGTCTGTCTTGACATGTATATTAACCAACACCAGAGGGTGTGTCATAATGTATGTTCAACTTCCTAGGTCAAAGGTCAAGGTCAAAAAACTGGTTTTAGTTGACAACCCCATGTCCTATGGTAAAGATCATGTCCGCTATATATCTTGAGAACCGTTATGATTTCAAAGTTTATACTTGATATGTATATAAACCAACACCAGAGGGTGTGTCATAATTTATGTACAACTTCCTAGGTCAAAGGTCAAGGTCAAAAACTTTGGTTTCATTTTACAACCCCATGTCCAGTGATAAAGATACAAATTTTTTACCACACATTATTCACAGCGGGGCCCACAGAGATGGCTCCCATCTCAATGATATCTAGTTATTTCTAATTTATATTTAAAAGCAAAACATACTGATATTGCAGGAGATACACACCAAACATGACGTGTAAATTATTATATGAAGTATTGTGCAACATCACACTATTGTGCAATAGCAGGAAATCTTCAATTGCATAGTATTGTGCAATAGCAAGAAATCTTCAATTGCATAGTATTGTGCAATAGCATAAAATTGCACAATAGCAAGAAATCTTCAATTGCACAGTATTGCACAATATCAAGAAATCTTCAATTGCACAGTATTGCAGAATAGCAAGAAATATCCAATTGCACAGTATTGTGCAATAGCACAATAATGCCCAATAGCCAGAAATCTTCAATTGCATAGTATTGCGCAATAGCAATAAATATCCAATTGCACAGTATTGTGCAATTGCAAGAAATCTTCAATTGAAAATTACTACAAATATTTCAACCCATTTCAAATTTTAAAGATTTTTCACCGCATTTATTTTGTGTCAGAAACCTATATTATGTCAAAAATTTGATCACAATCCAAATTCAGACAGTATCAAGCTTGAATATTGTGTCCAAACTTGCACCAACTGTTCAGGGTTCGACCTCAGCGGTCGTATCAGGCTGCGCTCAGCGAAGCATTTTATTGTTAATATGAGTTTCTTTGTTTTGTCTTTTTTGTCAAATTGACCCCTTATAATAGTGAATTGGATATTACTAATGATAATGATAGAATTTTTATTGCTGCATATAAAACCATATATTACTTTATAATTTTTGTCAAGTGCAAGTGTTTCATCAGTATCTGTACAATGATAATGAATGATAATGGAACTAGACACAAGTCAATACACACAAAAGTTGTACAATGATAGTGAATGATAATGGAACTAGACACAAGTCAATACACACAAAAGTTGCTGTTTAAGTGATTTTTATTATGCAGTCCAATAACATTTATAGCTACTTCTAATTTTGTTTAATTTTATGAGAGAAGACACATATATAGTTATATCTTGGAGCACCAGATGATTTTATCAATTTTATAGAAGTATTGATTATTTCAGTTTTATTTATAATTATGATAGTTACATTTGTAATAATAGTTATGTCAATAATTGCTAGGAACTGTCAGGGATTGAAGTGGAATGCCATGGGACCAGGGTTTAATTTAATGTCAACATGGGAAAATTTAATATCAAATTAGAAATGAAATCTTATTGCTCCTCAAGTGGGTAAAGGTAGTCCCAGAGCTGCATATTTTAAATTTGACCTCTCATTCATATTTTAATATTATTGTGGACAAACTATTAAATGGTACAACAATAAAACGTCCTTTTCCCAGTTCACTTAATTGACAAGTATGAAGGGAATGCATTGGAAGTAAAGCTTTTGAATTACTGAGAAGTTAAATTACAGAACAGATAAATGCATGATGAATGATATTTTGCATGATTATAATTCCAGAAATCAGCTTCATATTTTGACTAAACTATCATGCCTGTTTATAATCGACATTACAATTGCTTTTCTCTTAAGAATCAGATTACTTGATCAGTGTTGATCATTAACCTTTACTCAGCTTGGAAAGCATGTATTTTCTTATTTTCTCAATCTTAGATAATGGAAAAGCATGGTATATTTTACAAAGATTGAAAGTGCAATTGTACTAATTGGGTGATATCATCCATTTTGCATTGCATGTATAAAGTGAACAGCATACTTACTGGAATATTTGTTACATATGATTAGAATATTTCAAAATGATGTATTTTGTAATGCAGTGTTTTCTTGTATGAGTACAATTTTTCTCTTTTCTTTATAGTTTTTGCATGTTAAAACACTAAAATTTCTAATCTTAAATTTATGATTAATTGTAATATATACATGTCTGTCTGACAGTGTTCTCTTGACAATGACCTCACTTCAATGGATCTTCGATCAATAATAAGTTTTTATGATAACTGTAGTATGACCTTGATCTCAATGTTGAGTACTTTTAACCTAAAATTCAGTCTTAATCGATAAAACAGGTGAGACATTTTAGACTGTCGACTTTGGTTTTTTTTTTTACATTAAATCTCAGTTTTCCACAGAAGTAACAATTGAGATGAAAAAATAACTAAACAACACTGAGGTATTTATATTGGATATTAATATTGTAAGAATACTGTAAATCCAGAAATTTTAGCAATGATTTTATTATTGCCAATATTGCAAAAATAAAAACTTGCATTTAAGTTTTGATAGCTTTATTTATATGCAGATTTTACAGAAATTTGCAATAATCAATCTCACATTTTTGTCCATTCTTCAAATATTGCAATAATAAATGCATGCTAAAATTTCTGAATTTACAGTATTCTGTTATTTCTTCACTTGCTTGATGTACACTACTTTCTTATGGATTATTGAGTTCTTTTATACCTGTGAGTATTACAGATTTGATCCACAACATGGACAATATAATCAACCATCATTTAGATAGAAGCAGAAATTGTTTAACTGCACCTTTTTCTGAGGACGATGCCATTATTCAGTGAGGAATATGACATAACTTGTATTCTTTGACTGCATTTTCCTGATTTTTGCCTTCTTAATTGTAGAGATTCCCTTGGAATATTGTAAAAATATTATTTGCCTCTTGTTTGTTAAATTCTATTATTCCCTATAATAATGGACAGAAGATACATCTTTGTAAATTCAATAAATGATTTCTCAGTGGTCAGTGTACAGAACATTTGAAATGTCACAGTTTATCAGTGACAATGGCTGCTTACAATTTCTACCAGTCCAATAATTACAACATCAAAGATGTTATCTTAAGCTCAATTAATAACTGCGGGATATCTCATGTCATTACAATGTCGCAGCAGTAAATCACTTCATGGGATTACATAAGATTTTGATAATGATTGGTATACTTGATGATCTTGAACAGAGTTTTAAGAATCTTATTTCGATATGTTCCTCAAAGGTTGTTGTTGTTGACAAGATTTAATGGAACATTTTCTTACATTTGTGACAATAATTACACTCTCTCAAGCCAAGGAAATTGATTTTTGGAGAGCACAAATGTTGTATATTTAATATCAAATCCCACAGTTTATGTGATAGTGCTGCATCGCTGTATCCATTACATGATAATTTATTTCCCATTAAGCTTTTAGAAGAATTTAAATCAGCTTAAAATTTGATGTAAATTCTTTCCCACTTCATATTTTGTTGTGTATGCTTATTAGGAATGTTAAAAAGTCATGGAGATATGGATTCATCATTAAGATGACATAGATGGCAAATTTATATTGATTGGGATTTTGAAGAGATAATCTAGTCTGAAAACTAGGAAATATACTTTTTCTTTTGTGAACTATGTCTCATTAATTTTAACCTTTTTGTATAATTTCAACATGTTCAATCTTTTACTAGGTTGGGGAAAAAATGTTGTTACACCACTATTTCCATTTTTGTCTTGCCTTCGTAGCAGTCTCAGAAGAAACAGAGGGTTACATGAATGTTCAATACCACAACACAGTTCTTTAACTGTCTGGTTCTAACTTAAATTTTATGTCGGGGGCAGATTCAGGTGGCGGCGTGC